TTTTTTTTTTTTTTTTCCGTATTCTGTGGCTGTGGAGTCATAAATAAGACACTGGCAGAGAAGTGGTGATGCTGTGAATTTGAAGGGCGTATTGACAGATGATTTTGGCAAGAACATGGTGTTGGTACAAAGGAGCAGTGTTAGTCGAGTTAGAGAGGGGTGAAGCCGTGACCAGAGAAGAACTAATGTGTCAAATGGAAACTGACAACTTTAGGATAGCTGCTTTGAGCCTTAAGGAGCCTTCCGAGGACCTGAGCAATTGCAGAATGCAATCCTCATTCTTCATAGTGCAACACTGCCCAGAGGAATATGACAGCAGCATATAAGATCGACAGGAAACAAGCAGACTTCAGACAGAGAGCTACATTAGGCAACAGTAATTTGCCCGGTTCTGAATTCTAAGACAGAATTCTAAATGTTCTCCTTGGACAATCTGTTGTGCAAAGAGTCATCTGAGATGCTAGTTGAAAACACAGGTTGCTGGGCCCCACTGTAAACCTCCAAATCTGAGTGCCTGAGGTTGGAACTCAGCAATCAACCTTTTTCCCAAAGGATCAGATGGTTTGTTATGTGTTCAATCATGTGAGAGCCATTGAACTAGGTTAATATAAATTTTATATAAGAAATGTTTCTAGAGTAAAGTAAGCTCTTTGAAGAATGTCATTTATGAGATTAAATAATTGAGATTTTTTATTTAATTTTAGGGAAACCACTGAAATACAGGCCTCTCAAGACATGGATTTTTGCCTTAAGTGCTTAGAACAATATCTGGAATACAGTATTTGGTCAACAAAAATTTGTCCAGGGAATGAATGATTAAGAGATGGGGGTTTGGAGTCAAACATAGCTAAATCGCAGCTTGCATAGCCTTGTAAACCTGTGGTTGTTAGGTGCCATTGAGTTGGTTTTGACTCAAAGGGCACTATGTGCAGCAGAACAAAACACTGCCCAATCCTCCACCATCCTCACAATTGTTGCCAAGCTAGAGCTCACCCTGTTAATCCATCTTGTGAGGGTCTGACCCTTTTTTGCTGACTCTCTACTTTACCAAATATGATATCCTTTCCAGGACTGGTCCTTTCTGACAACATGACCAAAGTGTAAGATACGAAGTCTCATCATCCTCCCTTCTAAAGAACTTTCTAGATATATTTCCTCCAAGATTTATCAGTTCATTCTTCTACAGTACATGTTGTTGTTTATTGTTATACGCCATCAAGTCAGCCCCGACTCATAGCGACCCCTCCTTGGGTTTCCAAGGCAGTATCACTACGGAAGTAGGATTGCCCAACCTTCCTTCCAAGGAGTGGCTGGTGGCTTTGAACCTCCAGCCATCTGGTTAGCAGTCAAGTGCCTTAGGCACTATGCTACCAGAGCTCCTTCTACAGTACATACTATATTCAATATTCCTTACCAAAACCATAATTCAAATCCATCAATTTTCCTGCAGTCTTCCTTATTCATTGTCCAGCTTTCACATGCATATGAGGCTATTGAAAATACCATGGTTTGTGTAAAGCACATCTTAATCTTCAAAATGACGTCTTTACTGTTTAACACTTTAAAGAGCTCTTTTGCAGAAGATTTGCCCAATGTAATATGTCATTTGATTTCTTGACTGTTGCTTCCAGGGGCATTGATTCTGGATCCCAGTAGAATGAAATCCTGAACAACTTCAGTCTTTTCTCTATTTATCATGATGTTGCTTATTGGGCAGCTGTGAGGATTTTTATTTTTCCTTATGTTGAGGTGTAATCCATACACTATTGTCTTTGATCTTCATCAGTAAGTGTTTCAAGTCCTCACTTTCAGCAAGCAAAATTGTGTCATCTGCATATCACAGGTTGTTAATGAGTTTTCCTCCAATCCTGATGCCATGTTCTTCTTCATATAGTCCAGTTTTTCAGATTATTTGCTCAGCAGATGGATTGAATAAGTGTGGTGAAATGATACAAACCTGACACACACCTTTTCTGATTTTAAACCATGCAGTATCCCTTAGTTCTGTTTGAACGACGGCCTACGTACAGGTTCCTCATGAGTATAATTAATTATCCTGGAATTCCCGTTCTTCATGGTGTTATCCATGATTTGTTATGATCCCCACAGTTGACTGTCTTTGCATAGTGAACAAAACACAGGTAAACCTCTTTCTGGTACTCTTTGCTTTCAGCCTTTCTATGTCTGTTGTTATTGTTGTTATGTGCCATTGAGTCAGCCCCAACTCATAGCCACCCGTCCTTGGGTTTCTGAGGTGGTATCACTACGGAAGTAGATTGCCCATCCTTCCTTCCGAGGAGTGGCTGGTGGGTTTGAACCGCCAGCCTCCTGGTTAGCAGTCCTGTGCCTTAGGCACCATGCTACCAGAGCTCCCTTTCTATGTCTAGGTATCTACAAATGCAAACTCACTACCATCAAGTCAATTCCAACTCATGGGAACCCTATAGGACAGAGTTAAACTGCCCCATAGGGTTTTCAAAGCTGTAAATCTTTACAGAAGCAAATTGTCACATATTTTCCCATGAAGTGGCTGGGGGATTAGAACCATCCACCTTTCAGTTAGCAGCTGAAAGCTTGACCACTGTGCCACCAGGGCTGCTGACAAATGGAAAAGGAGGGTATAAATGTGTGCATCACAGATGTAACATAAAATTAAATGATATAACAGCTGGAAAACATTTAGCAGAGTGCCTGGCACAGAGAAAGTCCTCAATCAACAAGACTTATTATTGGTATTACTATTAATAATAATGTTTAGCACATGATCACTATTAAATATCAACTGTGTGACTTATGCAGTATTGACACTCTAAAATTTACTTTGGTTTAAAGATTGATATGCATAATAATAAAATAAACGCATGCTCCTTCTTTTGTGAGTCTTGCATTTTCCAAGAATTGTATGGGTTTGAGCTGCATAGTGACATAAACAGCACATACATAGGCCACAGAGAATTTTACCTCTGTCATTTAGATTTTTTGCCCTTTTTTTTCTCCCCTTCTTTCTTTCTCCTTTTCTTTCTTGCTTCTTTGTTTCATTTTTTTCCTCTCTTTCATTCTTCCGACTTTAGGTTCATAGAGTATGGATCTTAGTGTTTTCAGAAGGGCTGAGTTGAAAGAAGAGAAAAAATGATGAAAAAGGTCAACATCCAATGAGTCAGTCTTCTGGGCTCTGTTGTTCTGTTGAATGGCTTATCTTTTTTTTTTTTTTTTTTTTTAACTTTAGGTTATATTTAAAGGGTCACACTGGGACAGCAGGAAAACAGAGCAGCCTGATCTTACATGGTGCTGATTTCAGCACTAAAGATGCCGATAATGACAACTGTATGTGCAAATGTGCCCTCATGCTAACAGGAGGTAAGTCCTTTGGGGCTAGTCTCTAAGTTATGTTTCATTGGTTTGAGGCTTGAGGTTTCTTATCTATGAGAAAGGGGTATGATCATCTGGTCAAGAAACTTAAGAGCAAGTCTCTAGAGATAATTTTATTCTGACCACTAATTTACAATGTGTTCTTGTGCAAGACATTGCTAGAATACTTAGAGGTTTGCATCCTTCCTCAACATCTATAGGGGAGTAGGCAAAGCTTAAAAATTCCTTTAGCCTTTTGAAGACCCTGTTATTCTACCTCCTAAATAATCATCATAATACCTTAGTAGAATGAATTACATATTAGGAATTCAACATACAGCGCAGTTGCTACTTACAAAATACTTTGTAAATGTGTAGTAGAGTTCATTGGGCAGTCTGTTGAAATAGAATAAGAAGGATAAAGAGGTATAGTTAGACTTAAAGTCATAGAGTTCAAAACAGTTGTGCTAGAAGTGTTGCATTATATTGGATTGCCCTCTGCAAGATATTTCTTAGTGTAGAAATATACTATATGCCATAAAATAATACTGTATCACATAGTAACAGGGTTAATCCTTTTCATACCTTTTCAATATTTTTTCCAACTTTCTGATTTTGTCAAAGAGAAATTCTCAGTTTGATGCTAGCATATCCGTAATAGTTTTCTGTCATTTCCTAATCACCCTTCTTAGCAAAGAGCAGAAACCCTAGCTCCAGGGTTAGGGCCTTGGTAGTTGTTGTTGTTAGGGGCCGTGGAGTAGATTCCAACTCATAGTGACCCTATGTACAACCAACCAAAGTCCTGTGCCATCCTCAAAATCTTTGCTATGCAGCTACTCGGTCAGTCTATCTCATTGAGGTCTTCTCCTTTTTGCTGACCCTACATCACCAAGCATGATATCCTTATCCAGAAAATGGTCCTGACGACAAGACCAAAGTAGGTGAGATGAAGTCTGGCCATTCTCGCTTCCAAGGAGCTTTCCAGCTGTAGTTCTTCCAGAACAGATTTTTTTGTTCTTCTGGCAGTCCATGGTATTTTCACAATTCTTTGACAACAATTCAAAGACATCAACTCTTGTTTGGTCTTCTTTATTCATTGTCCATCTTTCACAAGTATATGGAGCGATTGAAAATACCGTATGTTGGGTTAGGAGCATCTGAGTCTTCAAAGTGACATCTTTTCTCCTTAGCACTGTAAATCTTTTGCAGCAAATTTGCCTCATGCAATACGATGTCTAAATTCCTGACTGCTGCTTCCATGGGTATCAATTGTGGATTCAAGTAAAATGCAATTCCTTGAAACAACTTGAAATCTTTTCTCCATTTATCATGATGTTACTTTTTGGTCTAGTTGGCAGAATTTTCATTTTATTTACGTTGAGGTGTAATCCATACTGAGGCCTAAAGACTGCAGTCTTTGATCTTCATCACTAAGTGTTTCAAGTCTTCTTCACTTTCAGCAAGCAAGGTTGTGTCATCTGCATATCGTGGGTTGTTAATGAGTTTTCCTCCAATCCTGATGCCTCATTCTTCTTTATAGTCCAACCAAAAAACCAAACCCAGCTTCTTGAATTAGGGCCTTCATTAGGCAATGGATCTACTGAGAATTAGATAATATTATTTTGCTTTAACTTTAGTTAGTTTATATTTACTTTCTAATGTAGCAAGTAGAATGATTTTCCTCTACAAAGGAATAACACAAACTTTGCATTTTAAGTATATTCACAATATTTGATATTTAACTAATCATTGATTTTAAAAAAGTTTTAATGAATGATTGACACAAATTTTAAATGGATACTTCCAAAGCTGTGAGACTGATACATGTGTAATGAAAATTTGGGGTGAAGCTAACACCTGATCGCAAATGTTGCAGCTCCAGAATTTATAAGTCCTGGCAGGGAAGAGGCATAGAAAATATCAGGAGTTGGCACCAAATAAAATTGTAAAGGACACCTCCTTTTCAGTTCTCCAAATTGAGTGCTGTTTCGCTCTCTTAATGGACTGGCAATCATCCCCATCTTCAACTTTCCTGATTGTCTCCCTGTGTTACTCCATAACCAAACATGTTTTCATTCTAGTAAGGAAAGAACTGTTCAAATACAATATTTTTCCTCCCCTAAATTATCTGTATGATAAATAATTGCCATCAAATCAATTCCAACTCATACTGACCCCATGTGTGCGTAGTAGATCTGACTTCATAGAGTTTTCAAGGCTGTTAACCTTTCTGAAGCAAATCACCATTCTTCCAAGGTGCCTCTGGGTGGGTTTGAACCAGCAACTTTTCAGTTAGTAGTCAAACATTTAACCATTTGTACTACCCAGGGACTTTGTATTTAATTACCATTATATTACATATTATTATATATTACTTCACATGTGGTATCATTTTACTTGAACTCTAAACCAGCTAAGTGAAATAAGCAAGGGGAAAAACTCTGTACTTTGTACATAAGGGAGGTTAAAGTAGGTTAATGTTCACTATTTCATTCTTAACATCTAATGCAGTAGATTTATGATACATTGTGTTCAGTACAAAAGATGATTCATTAATGAATGCTTGCAAATTTCTGACTGGTTGTAAGCTGATAACCCATGAAATCCCTCCCAAATTTTGAACCAATGATGTTGGTTGAAATTTCACTCATGAATTAATACAGCATCAAATAGTATAGAGGGATGATTTTAGAGAAGATCTTTCTACTCCCTCACCTATACCTCACCCTTCTATTACTACCACCACCACAACACAGTCCATTGATCCCCGGCCACTCCACTTATATTTCCAGCTTCTCAATGTGAGGCCAGCTCCAGCATCATCACAGCCATCTGTTATTATTTTACCTCTATGGTATCCTTTCCCTTAAGCTGTCAACATATCATTTTGGCATTGAATATTCAAAAGACTCTTATATGTAATTTTATGACCCCATAACCAGCAAAAGCAAACAAATAGTTGTTACAAATTTAGGGTGTTTTTTTAAAAAATGGAACCCACAGGTCAGTTCTTGAACTTTTTTTTCATGAAAGAAAAACTTTTCATTACCTCCCTGATTGCATAAATGAAATTGTCAGCAATTTTATGCAAAGACAAATGGACTTGGATTTTCCAGTTCCCTGCACGTTTTAATATTGAAACATGCTTACTTTTCTCCATGTCTATTTTTACAGATAATTTTTGTTAACAAATAAATATAATACATAAAAGACCAACAGTAAAAATTTTTCAATTGTTTCTTTGGAAGTGCATTCCAATATGTTCATATTCCTGTCATAGTAATGAAAATATGGAGTGAAGCAAAGAGGAAAATGTACCTCTTGTTGTCAATGAAAATTTCATTGCTTAGATTTATGATTTTATTTCTGCTTCACATGATTGAACTTTGTCATGTTCTTTCATCCATAATCATTCTTGGACCTGCTTCTTACCGACCAACAAACACATATGTTGGAGAGAAAAAAAATTCCACTGATTACTTGGGCTGGGATAGTCTGAGTAACTGCTTTTGTAACAAACGCTATTACCCTATCAAATATCCTTTTGAAAGAATCCAGGTCTGCAGAGCTATTCACTTTGCAAAACAAAAATGTGGAATTTAGATGGCTAAGAACTGGAGAACCTAAGGATGACTATCCATGACAGTCCAAGTGACTTGAATGTTGGCTCAGACTTCTGTCCTAATTGGCTGCTCCATACTACCACCATTTAAGCTCTGTCAATTTTTCCCTTAGAATTCTTTTCTTTAATGATTTCTCCTTTCTTCCTTTTGAGCTTGTTGGTTATTTAAAATAGTCTCTTTTAAGCAGTGAAGCTTCATACTAATAGTTCTCTGTCATCATTGATTAAAGCTTTGTTTTATTTTGTTTATTTATGTATGTTTACCTTTGTTTCTTCAAAAGGAATTAAGGATAAATTAAGATGTATTGCCCTCCAACTTTCCTAAGTAGTTTTCCTTAAGTACATGGAAGGATTTTAGTTGGAGAATATAGTATCATTATTACTCTGATCTGTCAAAGACTCAACAATGTGAAATAGGATTAATTGAAAACAGAAGATATTTTTGATCTTCCTTACTCTCTAACTTCTTCAATTGCTTGCATCAATTTAACGTATTTTAGTGGACATATATGAGGTGATCGGGAGCTCTGGTAGCATACTGCCTAAGGCACTTGACTGCTAACCAGAAGGCTGGCGGTTCAAACCTACCAGCCACTCCTTGCAAGGAAGATGGGGCAATCTACTTCCATAGTGATACTGCCTCAGAAACCCAAGGAGAGGTCGCTGTGAGTCGGGTATGACTCGACGGCACATAACAACAACAACATGAGGGGATCATGAGTCAGAATCCACTCAGCAACAACTAACAGTACCTACTAAAGCCAGTTACTGAGCAGGACAGAAAGTTTCCTGCCTTCATGGAGCTTGCACCTTATTGGGGAAGACCATCAACAAAAAAGTAAGCAATAAATAACACAATTTTGAACCATAGTAAGGTCTACAGACAACTTGGATACTTATTCGAAGGAAGGAAGAACCCACTTTAAATAGAATGTCTTAGGATCAAAGACTGGAATGAGTTGCCATAGAGGATCTTGCACATCTAGTTATTGACATCTTCAGGAAGAGAACAGAGCCATTCATTAGAAAGACTTTAGTTATGCACTTTCCTCTACTTATGAGTCTAGATTTAGATAGTCTTTCAAGTTTTCCTGTGGTTCTGTGCTTCTATTGTGCAATGTGCCCATTGCAGCTGTTATTAGAGAAAAACAAAATGCTCCATGTGTAGGCTGTAATTCATAGTATATTATTAAGTTGAAAAGTAAAATAGTGAGCTAAGAAAGCACCACACATTTATATTTATAAGAAGATAACCACAACGTTTTACTCCCCTTTTCCCAGAAGTATGTGTACCTCTTATTTCCACCTTTCCAAGAAGCCAACAATTCTTCCATTCAATGTAAATATAGAATAATCTTAATGTTTTATTACACATTTCTTATGTTAC